TTGATTTGATTTGATTTGACAAATATTTGATTCAATTTGATTCAATTTGATCAAATTCAAATCAATTCAAATTGATTTGATCAAATATTTGAGTTCAATTCAATTCGATTCAATTCAATTTGAAAAAATCAAATCAAAATCAAATTGCTTAAATATTTGATTTGATTTGATTTTGAGAAACCCTAATAACTACTATATAGAAATTCTCAAACTTATAGTTATATTGTTTCACAATCAAGAATTCTCAAGATCACATCATTGATCTTTCTAAACTCGAAAAATACTTTATTAAAATAGTTATAGATTAGAGGATCTAACTTAGAATAGGCAGATCATGTATAGTACTTTCGGTCAATTTTATCTTGCAGGTGATACATTTCACAATTATACTAGGTGATCATGCATGCAGGTTATATAGCTATTCATTTTGCAAAAAAAATAAAGTATAAATTATACATCATACCTTTGGCTAAATATAGTTGAGATAAATAATATTATTATTATTTAGTCGAAAATAATAATTTATAATTAAAATATTACTCAGAATAAATCAGTCAAATCAGATAAACAATCACGATTTTTGTTTTATCTCTCAATCTTAATGCAGTACTTTTTGGCTGATTAAGATAGTTTATGAATGGTAATAAGTTATTTTATTTCACAAACAAAGATGAAATAAATATTTTGTTTGTATTACTCTCTTTTGATCTATTAATCTGCAGAAGATAAAGCAGTTGCATCTTTTGGCCATTGTTCATGATCTGATGAAATCCCTTCTGTTTTTGAATATTCAAAAAGGCACGTTTCTGTCTGATGCGCCTAATCCTTCTGCTAACATTTTCTAACCATAAAGCATAACTATATAGTTTATTATCAGCATAAATGCCAAATTTATTTAGGATGTAATTATTATCAGTTATAACGGTATATGGGTTTCTGCGTTTGAATTTACCAAATTGATTTATCTTCAAATCATATTGATGAAAAAGGTGTTTTATTCTTCAAAATTTAGTTTGCGAAACTTATTTCCGGTACAAGCTGTGGCCCAATGTTGATATATACCCCAATGTTCTCCATTAAAGCTAATATTTCTGAATCTTTCAGTTATGAACTTACCCTCCAATCCGTTATAAACAGATCTTTCACCAACTGACAAGTGTTCTATTCCAAGATATACAACTTTGTTGCATGAGTAACAGATAGTCATTCCACATTTCGGGAATAATTTTTGTCTATCAACAAGATATAGCAAAGCTTTGTGAGCGCAGAAGTAATCTTTCTCACCATACGTATAGTATTTTTTATTTCGAAAATACATTAGGCGATCCCAAATCCTATTTCTCCATTCAGACGGAGTTTCACCATCCATAATGTGGCGCAAACCAATATATTCGACATGCTCCTCATAAGTACCCTCAAAACCATCACCTAGTGGAGATTTAGTCATATTAATACACTTGAATATAGCTATTTAACAATTTATAGCAGTTTACACAGCGATTTTTAATGATTTATAGCTGATTTAGCAAGATTATACTCTACTAAATCCAAATTCATTTTTATTCGATTATAAGCATATCGGGATTTATATATCGGATATGCTAATTTTATATTTACATGCATATGCAGCTCCAGAGTTTCTATAAATCATGAGATGATCGGCCGATCAGCTTATTATTCGATTAACGTTAATCATTAGTTAAAGATCATAATTAATTGTTCCTCCTACCATAAAAATGCCTCATAATAAACTTAGAGTAGTCATTCAGAAGGCGTTTTCGTCAGAGAAGCTTCGATTACCAAAGGAGCAGATAGATGAAAGCAGGTGAGTAGGCATTGCACTAGTTTGTATTGAAGTTCACCCAGTGTTGACTCGTGTGAATTGCAGTCTTCCTTTTATAGTTGCCTCAAACATATCCCTGCAACAATACAATTCTTTCATCGAAAGCAAAGAGATAAGCGGATACAAGCTTGATTATAAAAAGGGCACCGTATATATAGTTGAAATGGATTCGACTGAACATGAAGCAGTTATTGAGTCAGTTGGATTTTTCTTCAGAAACCTTTGTCCTGGCGTGCCTAGTGATATTGCTCCAATACAAGTGCTCGGACAGCCACGTAAGGGGAATTCTTCCTAGTTTACTTGATCTCTCACCTCTTATGGTGATCTAATATTTATCATCATTTCCAAAGTTCATGACGCGCCAGATGGATCTTACAAAGCACCGGATCTTGCTGTTCAACCTCATCCCACTTTGATTAATGACCCTCCCGTCCCACACCCTGGTCCTCCGCCCAGCGATAGAAGGGTACTTTGATTTGTCATGTATTTCGTGATACCCTAAATACTAATACTTATATGGTTGATATAGGGAAACCCTTATGCGAGGGTAATGCTTGAAGTAGCCGTTACTCAAAGTTCCTCTGACTTGAAGGACAAGTGTAGACTTTGGAAAAGGCAATCGTACGTGCGATCCATACTAGGCATAAAGCTCTACGATGTATTGGCCACACGTGACGCATCAGGACGCAGAGAGCGGGCTATGAAGGTATGTCAATATAATAATTCTAATTATTATATTACTTTATATTTAAATTGTTAAATATTAGGCCATACTTTGGCGACAAGGAGTCGCAAGGCGGAAGGTAAGATTGAATGTTGAGAGGAAAATTTCCTACTCTTTACTTCTTGTGATGCTCAAAGTCCGGTTCTTTATATAATAGTGGCATTTTGGGACTGTAGATAAAAGGGGTAATCAGTTTCCTCCTGGCACAAATATCTGTAATACTGCAAATGATCCAAACTTCACAATTAATATCCCCGCTTCCGACATATTTTATGATCCAGCAATTCCGGCAATTGGATATATAGGACCTATGGCTTTTCCTATATTTTATAATGCTAATGTTGCAATTGATCTATATCGAGTTCAGCAGGCAGTTTTAATGAAACAGGCAAAATAAAATCATGGATTAATGTCATTAGTTATGAACGTGATCACTTGCAGTATATTGGAAAAACTTTGTCAAATTAAATGAATATCGAAAGAAACATTTTGTTTCTTGTATTATTAATACTCTAATAAAACTCTTTTTAATATATCACAAATAAAAAACTTGCTGTACTTGGTTAAGATACTGTTTGATGCTTAATTTTTTTTATTACAAGCCAGATAATGTATTTATTTATTATTATTTTTCATTTTAGTTTCCATTATTTTAATTCTTTTACTTTAACACTTGATATGGGCAAATTATTTTTCATTAATAAGCGAACACAAAATTTATATTTACCGGATAAGTAAAAAATGAAACTAATAAAAGATATTGGAGTAGATCATGTTTAAAGGGAGAAATCACGCCAGCCCCTAAGCCAAATATGGCGGTTCCTTCTCACTACTCCGCATTATTAACTACATTAAGTTTACTATCTAACCATAAACCAATATCATCTAAAGTACTAATATACCCATCCTTCTTGATATTTCTCTCATAAAACCCTTGAACCGTAACTTTCTTAATATTCCCATCTAATCCATAAATATCCATTGCTACATGAAGACACATTTCTTCTAAGTTAAAATTTTTTTCTGCCTTAATTTTATCAAAAATTTCCTTGAATTGAGTTCAGACAGTTAAGCTAATACCCTTGAATGTTATTGGGCTTGAGCTAGATGAGATGCTTCAGAATGGTTCGATACACTTTATTGATCAGTTTCAGCCAGCTGGATTCTTCTATTAATTGTATAATATTGAATTAATCCATTTTGAAGAACTTCAATAGAAGCATTAACTGAAGCAAAATCATTACAGCAGGCTTCTTCAATATTATCGACCGTTGATAAGATTTTCTGCGTCTCCTCGGTAAAGTCATCATCATGTGTCTTGATTTTTTCAGCTTCTCAGTAAATTTACCATCAATTTCAGCATAAATTCTACTGATTTCCGCAGTAAATGAGGAATTAAAATTGGAAATCCTCATATCAACTTTTGTAATAAGCTTATCGTTAATTTCAGTAAAAGTTCTTTCAATATCTGGTGTATCAAGATTGTTAACAATTTCGATGGCACACGCATAGAGTTCATCAAGAGACTTTCTGTTTGATATTTGATCATATGGGAAGTTTGCTAGGAAAATGGGGTTCTGAGACATTTTTTAAAAAATAGAAATTTTTGATACATATTAATCT